AATCAACAGCTGTTGATTAGCTAGAAGTAAAGAAAGGTTGGAAAAAGCATTATGTATAGCTTTAAGTAACTAGGTTTCTTTTTGGTTATATAAGCTTTCAGTATGCAAACATTTCTCCCTTTTCCTACATGTGTAGCAGATGGGTGCCTGCCCTACCCTATATTTATGTATTAATGTACAGGATTTTTGCAATGCCTCAGAATCAGTTTTACTCTGTTGGAGCACATTGTATATAAAGGTTGCATTTAAAATCTTGAATTTAATTTAAGTTCCTCAATAACACTCAATTAAAAGTCACTACAATAAGCTCTGAGTCATTCATTACATTTTGATTTTTAGGTTGGAAAACTGTAAAACTTAACAAAATTCAATTAATGCAATTACATAAGGTACAATCATGACGGTAAATATTGTTAAAAACAGTAATTAAATAAAGTTTGAGTAAATCAGAAAATAACCAGTTGCAGCCTTGCTCACAATCATCTGTAATATTTATTGTTTATTAGGCTCTAGCTTTTGTTCTCATTAAGGAATAAAGAACATCCAGGCTTTTGATGCAGATATTGGACAAGTTCAAGTTTATCGTCTGCAATTTTTTTTTCTCTTACTTATTTCCAGATGGGCTCAATCACTATTTTTGAAGTTTAAGGAATGTTATTATTACAGTGTATCCTTATGAGTGCATGAGCTATTCTTGACACATGCCACATTTGTTAACCAGTAGGTATTTCAAAATGTAATGAAAACAGCTATTCTTGACACATGCCACATTTGTTAACCAGTAGGTATTTCAAAATGTAATGAAAACAGCGTGAGATGGTGTAAATGTGCTTAGCTAAAAGTGTGATTCACCTGTTATGGAAAATCCACTGACTACTAAAGTGACTCAGAAAAGTGTCCTAGGTATTTACAGCACAACTGTCTGAAACTTCTCTCTTTTGCATTAAATGTTTAAAAGTGTGTTACTCTTTCCTGTCAAAACAGAAATTACCTCCTTTTACTTGTCTTTGTTTAATCCGCTGTCGCTCCCTAAGGCGCCGGCATCTTTTTTTGAAAAACTGTCATACATCCATGTTATTTCTTCTATATAGCCAACAGCCGAAGCTTGAAAGAAAACCCCCGTTTCTCTCTATCTCTCTAACAGAGATACCATCCTTTCATTTCCGCCCCTTCAGATAAAAAGATGAGACGGGAACAAGGCGAAAGTGAGGCCTATTGCTGGGCAGCAGTGATTGAGTCCCTTCACTAAGCCAGCAAGAATCTCTGCAAATAACCTTCTCTGACGATAAGGAGCTAGTCATTTCCATAGACAAAAAAAAAAAAAGAATCCAAAACATTAGGGATCAGATTAGATTTCAGCGTGTGCCGGGCTTATCTCCATGCTGCTTCAGAGAAAATGAATCAGAAGGCAAACTCCTGCAGCCCATCTTTTAATAAAAACACACTATTAAAAAACATGTGGAGCAGATATGGAATAATTTTATTTCTGCAGCTATTGTTAGGAGTTCTCCATAGCTTATATTTGTTTTTTTGTGTTAAATTAACATAGAAAGAAAATACAACAATGTCATTTGTTTTGTACTCCATTGTTTAAAGGGATTTCTGTTTTGAAAGAAAATATCTTCTTTTGCTTGGAGGTTTATTGTTTTTTGTTTTTTTTATCTTAAAAAAAATAAAGACTCCAAATCGTCTTGCATGTTGTATGAAAGGAGAGGTTAACACCTTGAAAAGGATGGAATTGGCCTTGTAGCCTGCAACACATATACAGTTAAGGCATTACCACCTATTTCGTGGCATCTCTGGCTGCCTAGCTCAAGTGGTAAGTCACCCGTAACTCATATCCCAGCTTCGGGGAATGAGCTGCCAGTGTGGGTTCTTCAAGACCCTTCATGCTAATGCCTGCTTTGGGGAGTGGTTGGGACACTGCGCTTGGAATGGGTGACACCCTTAACCCTACACTGCGCTCTGGGTCAGGCACAATGGCAGTCCACCCACTGCTCCCCAAGAAGATGGGTTGAAGAGAGTTCAACCCATCTTCTTGAGAGTTCAATAAAATGAAGAAAAAAAAATAATAATACCTAAAGCCAATTCAAATATAGGTAAATACTACTCTATCCAAGAAGGTGGTTTTCTAGTGGGACAACAAAGTAGCTGATAATAACAGATAAAACGTGAACGGAGCATGAAATTTGAAAAAAGAAGTCATTGTAAATTTATATTGAATTCATTATAAATCTAGTTGTGAATAAAGCAACGGCAGACCTAACACCTCCTATTTATATTTTCAAAAATTAACATCAGCTCAAATTTTAATGAAGCCTAGGCGGAAGTTCAACTGACGTAACTGAATTACCAACCCTTATCTGCCTCCGACACAAAACAGTCAGCTTTGAACCACACCTCCACACAAAGCCCAATCAGCATCCAGAGTTCACCTTAGAAGGCCTCCAAATCCACAAGGGGTTGGTGGTAGTGGTTGCGTTATGTCTTCTCCACCATCATAGCTAAAGCTTCATCTGACTTTTCCGCGGTGCTTCTTCTACTTCGTCCGCATCAGAGTTTAATTCCTCCCATACTCTTACTGCATTCCATGTCTCATCTCAACCGGTCAGGTAGGAGACCACCATGTTGAGCCTGGTTCTGCCAGAGGCTTTTTTCCCAAAGTGGAGTTTTTCCTTTCCACTGTCACTGGACATCTAACTGGACATCTAACTTCCTAGGTCTTTGAGTGAAGCACGAGTATCAGACCAAACAGTCTACTGGATCTCACCAATACAGCTCAAGCACACCGTCTTGCCCATCAGCAGTCTATGGACTGAACCTACTAAATATATCTTCACTCCACCGCCAGTTTCAGGCTTTGATATTTGTTACTCGGAATACTCCAATGATATAACACTGTTCAGCATTGCAACGATTACAAAGAATTTTGCTTTATCCAGCCTAAC